AGGGAAAGCTATAAAGATAGATAAGAATTAGGAGGCAAACAGCATTATACTGCTAGAATTCATACTTACAAAATGGGATTTTTTTTTTTAGTGTCAAGGTATTTATCTTCATCTCTAGCAGTCTTAAAGATGTACATTAAAGAGGGACCTAAACAAGAGGTGGGGCTTTTTTTGACAAAACCAGAGGGAAATAAGTATTGCTGTGGATGAGAACGTTCATTTCAGTTGAGGAAATAATGCTTTCATTTTGTATACTTAAAAACAAACTCCAGTGAGAAACATATGGCCAGACTCTTTGTGGCAAGGCTAGTAAACAAAGCACTTCTATATTCTGACTTTTTGAGGTGGGGGAAGGGGAGGGAGCAGAACAACATGATTATAGCCTGTGCGTTACCGAATATAACATTCACGTGGGTCTCTCATAAACCATATGCCTGTACACACATCAAAAGTGCGTGTTCCTATTTCTGTCCTGAGAATTGTCATGGGTAGGGAGAATTATTGTTTGCGAAATCATTTATAAATAGCTCTGGTTGCTTGTGTTAGGCTTAGCTTTCCCCTGTTTTATAAAGTTCCTAAGCTGTTGCTGGGACATAATCAGTTTGCATTCAACTCTTCCAAAGTCTATGGTAGGTGTAAGTTTAACCCTTGCCTTTTAACTGTTTTTATGGTTTAAAATAGCATTTGGAACTGTCCAAGCAAGTGCATACTGAGTCAAGAGCAGGACTTTGCAAATATACTTGCTGCTTGGGTGTGCTACTGCACCAGATCAAGTAAGGTTTCAGGAACACCAGACTGGCTGCTCAGGAGCTAGTCTGGCTCTGGGCTGACTGCACTTGCATTTCCCCCCCCCCCGCAGAAGCTCAGGCATGTGTCTGCACTTACGGCCTTTCAGACCTACCCAGGGCGGGTTATCGGAGTGGGTGCAGGGCCTTGCGGTGCTTCTGGGTTTGTGGCTTCTTGGCAATGAGCCCTCTTGTCTGCGAGGGGAATTCAGATGCTCTGCTGTGTTCCTGCACCTCTGCTAAGCCAGCACTCAGTGGGCATTGATGAGCACTGTTTTCCTGTGGATGTTCTGGAGTGCTTACACGCAGTATTTCCGGAGACTTGGCTTATCCATTTGTTTCTCAGCATCTTAAGAAATGGTCAGGTGTCTGGCTGTGAATTAAGACACAGATACTGATAGTAATTTTTTGAAAGACAAGGTCAGAAGGATTGTGAGAGTAAGTTTGTTCTTCAGTGAGGCTTTTGGATGTCTTGGAAGTTCAGAGTGTTAGAGCTCTAATTATTGCTTCTATGTTTTACTTATTTACAAATCTGTTAAACCATGCCAGTAAGTTGGCAGACTGCACGAGGGGTGTTCTCTTATGGAGAATATTCTTGTCAGTGATATTGCTTTATGTAGAAAATATATAATGTAAAACATCGGAATCCTTATGGAGCTTGAATGTTGGTGAAAATCTTTGTGTTCTGAGCAGCAAAATATAAAAATTAAGAGACTAAAGAGTCATAGAATATGGAAAATTCACAAACACTGTAGCTTTGGCCCATTACATTTGCTAGTTATTGTTAATCACCAATGTTTATATGGCATGGTTGATAGTAACATCTGTTTCCTTCCTTGATGTTACTTTAAAAGTTTAGATTATTGAAGCAGGCCTTTACCTACTTTATCTTTATAAAGTTCTTTTGGTCTTAGTTTCAGTGGTTTGTTGCAGAGTTAATTAGAAACCTAAATTTTGGGGAATTTGCTTTTGTTCTCAAAGCTTGTGTGGATTAGTTACTGTGGCCTTCCCATGTGTTTGCACACCTTCAAAAAGCAAGGGTGCTATTCTGTACTCATGGGTATGAGCAGCTTCCTTTTAATGTTTTCACATGAAAACCGTTCATCCTTGTGCCAAGACAAAGGGAAACACAGAAGTGTGAAGGCATTACAGGGAATTTTTCGCACTTGAAAGGAGCTGTGGTGATCAGTAAACTTTACTGAACCTTGCAGGAGGGAGAAGTGAGGCCCCAGCTCAGCAGAGCTGCTGCAGCCTGGCCATTGCTGGGTTTCAACACTCTGTCCTTTGGTTTCTCCCTTTTCCCTGCCTGCCCTTTTCTCAGGATTGAAGCAAAGAGCAGGCAGGATTCATTAAGCCAAACAATGCATAAGCATGGAAAGCAATAAGGAAAGCAGTCAACACCTTAAAATAAGAGCCGGGTCCTGAACTCTTGTCTAGTGAAGATTGATAGTGCCTCCCACTATGAAAGGCTGGTGAGTTCGAAGAGAAAGGGATGGGGGAATACTCCTATGATGGGTTTGTATAGCTGCAGCCTTCAGTGGTTGGTTATGTCTTGTCTTTTTTTTTTTTTTTTGACCAGAAAGGGAAAGTAAAATTCAAATCCTTGACTATAGCTGAAATTACATTTTTGGTATGTTGCAAAGACAGTATTCCTTGAAAACTTTAAGCAACCGTATGTCCCCAGTGTAGTGTGTCTTTCAGCGTACAGCTTTAGTTAAATTGGCTGTGACTGCTCAAGTGCTGCAGAATGTGAGATTTTAAAGAGTGCAATTGTGAATTTTTTAGGTAAGTGTGAAACACGGTGTTTCTGTTTTGGTGAGGTTTTCTCTCTTGGTACAGTAGGCTTGCAGATGCAGGATACCAGGGCTGTGCCAAGCAAGTGGGAGGTGGGACTCAAATTTAAGCATCGTGCTTGCTGCAGGGACCAGCCAGGTTTGGTAAGCATGGATGCAAGAAAAGTTCTGGGGAATTAGTGAGCTCTTAATTGTGATGAGATCAGGTTGGATTCTGTGCCAAGAAATTGCTCCCCATATATTAAACTGAATTACAGTTTTAAGATGTATGTTTTTGAAAATTGGTGTTGAAATTTCTTACACGTTGTTGTTAGCTCAAATAAATGGGCTGTGTCTGTGCAGACCAAAAAGTGAAGTTAGAAATCAAGTGGAAAAAAAGACTACAGGAAATGTAAAAATGTGTTTGATTAGGGGGAGGTATCTTGATGCATCTCATTCATATTTCTGTGAAATACAGGTAGTTGGAGAATAAGACTTCAACAAAAAAATACACAAGAGAGGGAGAACACAGGGAGTATTTCAGAGAAAGCAGCATGGCAAAAAAGGGGTTTAGGAATAAACTTCCCTTCCTAGGAGCTATGCAACTGAATTGGGTTACTTCCTTCCTTTCATGAATGACTAAGTTTTATGTGTGGAGAAATACAATAAATAAAAATCTTAATTCAATGGGACTGCATATCTATAGCAATCTGTGCTCCCAGGGAAAATACCCATCAGTCACAGGAGGAAAAAAAAAAAAAAATTATCTTAAGACTCTTGAGTTTGTTCAACAGTGCAGAGGTCTGGGGGCAGTTGTGCAATGGATGCAATCACTGACCGGTGCATATTGCTGTGTCAGGTGCTTGAAGTGAAGGTTTGTCTTTCTCTGTTCTTTTGGTGCTCTTCGTGCTGGTTTCTGCAGGCAAGACCACATCTAGTATGACAGTGCCCTTGAATTAGGGTTTCCATAGGTGTTTTCAAGTGTGCAGTACATGATGTCATGCTTGGAGGCTTCCCTACAAAAGCAGTGTGTAACCTCAGGCAGGCTGTAGCTGATGGTGGAAGGACAATAGCGGGTCAGTTAGATGCTGGAGTGTGGTGATGCTTACGCAGGCTGTGAGCCTCCTGTGCACGTTTTCATCGTTGGACTGGCACCTTGATTCTCAAGGTTTTTCTACTCTCGTGTTTTGCAGGCTGTGGAGTTCTGGCCTTCTGTATTTTAGCGTCTTATGTAGATGAGTTTGGAGGTTTGGGTAATGCCAGCACTCTGTGTATTAGAAGCCCTGACGCTTCAGTCTTGGCAGAGCTGAACCTCCTAAATCACAGTAGAGTATGTTTGCATTATCTGTAGGGCAGTTGAGTGTTTTTAGTAATGAATTGCATGACTTAAAGAGAAATTTCAAGGTAAACCTCCAGTGGTGCTTAATTATATTTTTAAGTGAAAATTTACAGGGTGGTTTAAATTAGATCTGCCAGTTTGGGCTTCAGAAATGGCTTTATGCTTGCACAAATAACAGTTTTGTTTTTTTCTTTCAACAGAGGTTGCAGAACTTGAAGCTAATTTACCTTGTAAGTATAACATTTAATGGTACGCATTTTAAGGGGAAAAGGACCATTGAACTGAATGTTTCGACTGAAGTATGAACACTAATGATACTTTTTAACTGTAGGGGAAGCTGTGCAAAACTCTGCCACCCAGGCTGGGACAGGTTTTCTTTGCTCCCTCTTAAGGGGTTGTGGAGAGGTGGATCCCTTATTAGGGTCCCTTGGAAGCAGTATTGATCATTTGCCTCTAGAATTTTATTGGTGGTGGAGTGGGAGCTTCCCTCTCGTGAACCACCCAAAAGGTACCTGGAGCTGAAGAGTACATTTACTGCCTCACTCCTGGTTTTTCTCCATTCTCTAATTTTCAAAACAGTAGATGCTGTTTTAGGGGCAGAGCAAATAGCTCAGTTCTCTGGAAATGTATTAAGTCAACCTAGTGCTCTTTCACTTCACATGCAATCTCTAACCTCATGTGCATGTTAATAGTGAAAATACTAATGAAATTTTTTTTAAAAAAATCCATATTCCTTCTAAAAAAAAAAAAGCAAAATAATGTAGTTTTTGTCCTGGAATCTGTCTTGTATGTTATGCTAAAAGCTGAAAATATTAATGGCCACTTTAAAATAGGCTTTTAACAGCACAGGGTAAGTGGCTTGTTGCTTCTAAAGCTGGGGACAGATAGTTAAAAGTCAAATACATGTTTTCTGCTCTTTAGCTTTAGAAAGCTTCATTCTGTAATAGACAGCAGAACACAAAGCCCTTTTATAAATGGGAGTGAAGTTCCTACTGCTTTGTATTTGTTGCGGAGGGTGGGTGTTGACAGTGAAGCTGAGTTGTTGCTGAGCTCCCTTTCCCTTCGAGCATTGACCAGAACAGCATCATTCTGCCATGAGTTCTTGGAATGCACGCAAGCACAACGAGTTATTGCCTGCTAGGCTCAGAGGTACATTCAGAGTCCATCGCTTGCTCCACAGAACTTCCTGTGGTGCACGTTCCTGTTTTGGAGTAATCTAAGATCTTTTCCCTGCAGGGAAAGAAGCAGGAGCTGGTTGCAGCAGACCGAGAGTGTATGTGCAGGTTATTACCGTGCTGTGCATTCATACTGTCTTGTCCATATGCTTATCTAACAAAGAAAAGCAGTGAATATTCTCTCTGCTTACGCTGGCAGGTAGCTTGTGATGTTTCTAGTCTTTCTCCATCTAAGGGAAGCTTTGACCATATTTTTTCCTCGCCAGGTTAAATTTCGAAGTGCTGCTTCTGATGAGCATCTTTGGTTTGCTAATGATTTTAAATCCGAATCAATGCTCAGATCTCAAAAATCAAGTTTTTCCGTGTACAGACTGCCTGATGGGAGGAATTACAAGGGGGAAATACACAGAACAGAAGCAGTAAAAAAGGAGGGCAGGAAGAGACATTATTTATCTCTTCCTTTCTGTATGCTTTTCTTAAAGGCAATTATAGAGATTTTACACAGACTAATTTTAACTTTTTTGTGTAGACTCTTCTATAGGATAACCAACACCTGAGAAATGTGTATCAGGGTTTGTGGTTACTACAACGTGAATGCATTACTAGGGTTTCTGTACAGTTCTAGGGGGTTTTTTTTGGGCAAATAAGGTCTCTATCTCTGATACTCTTTAGCTACTTGACTACAGAAAAAGAACAGCCAGCTTGATGGATTAAGAAGCTAAAGGCTGCCTAATGTAGATGATAATGTATCCATGGATATAGACATCTTCTAGTGCCAGTTTGACAGCTTGTTGCTGCCATAGTCAAGAAAGTCCAGTTTTGTGCATGGGAAGGCAACTTAGTTTGTGTCATCAAATGCGAAGAACAGGCTGTTATAGTGTGAACTTGAAACTAGTCAGTGGTTTCAGTACAACAGATGTATCAGATTGTTTTATCTTTTTTGACACTTGTTCTTAATTTTCACTATTCTCCTTAAATTCATCTAGTCTGAGAATACGACCATAGTGTTTAGTTTGTAATGATGCTCCATAACTTTTGCTGTTAATATGTGTAATTGGTTATGCAGAAGAAACTTGCTCAATATGACAGCTGAATGGAGACTTCAATGGCTTGGGATGAGGCCTTCAGTAAAGCTTGTATCTCATTAGGTCTTACAGGTATAAATAATCCTTTGTTGGCATAGGGCTGTGGTGGCATGACTTTTTGCAGACTGCAGTGTATGATCAAATGTCAAATACACATTACTATTAAAGAGCTTGTAAGGAAGAGATGCTCATTATCTAGGCTGTCATCTTAACGTGGAGCTAGTATATATACAAAAGACCAAATCCTTTGGCATTTCAAGGTCTTTGCACAGCATGGTTTACTGAAAGGAAATAAGCTTCTTCCTCACAGCTCAAAGAAATGAAGTTCCATTACTGCAGGTGACCTGTGACTGTATAGGGAAGAGGTGCTTAGAGACAAAGTGTAGGGGGGAATCACTTGACTGGAAGGTAGGGATTAATCAGAGAGGGAATTTGGAGAGTGTGAAAGATGATACACTTGCTTTCCCAACAGTGGAAAAACAATTGTCTGATGTAAATTATTCTTTTGCTTCACAGGTACATGTAAAGTGAATTTTCCTGACCCAAACAAGCTTCATTACTTTCAGCTAACTGTAATCCCAGGTAAGTTTGTTTGGTTTTTTTTAAGCATGTTACTTTTGTGGGTTGCTGTTTAGGAAATGTAATTTCAAGAGTTTGCTGAAGAATCCAATAACTTTCTACTCAAAAGACTGGCTGTAATACAGTGATTATTTTATAGATGGAATGGAGAAACTGGGGTGGATTTAGAGAACTAGATTCCAATAAAAATGCCATCAAAATTGAGCAGGTTAAGGAATTGTTCAGGTCTTGTTTGGTCACTTCGATTGAAAACTTTTTCTCTTAGCCAATTTCAAACCATTTTGTTTTTGCTGAGAATCTTGGGCTATGTGTAGAGAAATTGTTGTATTACAGCCCTGTCATGTTGCAGATTTATTATTTTCTTCTGATTTCTTGGTTCTGTAGTGTTGAAAAGGTAGATGACAGATACAACACTGCTGGAAAACTTCAAATCCATGCATGTCTGAAGGTGCCTAACAAGTAGGAGTCTCTTAGTCTTTGAATATTCAAGTATGTGGAAGTTAGATCTTGTATTAATAATACAACTTAAGTATACTGCAAAACTTTTGCTGGCATGCTCTTCAGTAAAAGGAAAAGCTCAGGACTACATTTTTGGAATTTATCATTTCTATTTAAATTTCTTAATAGCCATCTGAAAAATTACAGACTTCGCTCACATGGCTGTCCATTTTAGAAGAGAAACTCGTGTGTTTTATGGATGAATTTGCATGGAAGATTATTTAAACATGACATACACTTATTTTTGCTGTGCCTTACCTTTAAGACTCTGTGCAACTATTTAAATGAGAACATTGATGTGTTCAGTGTACTGAATTGTTTGAGTTACATGTTCTGGGATCAGTATCTCCCTGTCAACTAATTCTTGTAGGTGCATGTTTTCTGTAGATGCTTAATGACAACAGAATTTGGATGCAGTATGGCAATCATAGTGATGTCTTACTATGGAAATAATGGTGATAGGAATGTTTCTGATAACCCAGTATCTTCAAGTCAAACGAGCGCTAGATGTCACTGTTGGTGCTTATTAGCCAAAATCAGCTAGTGTTTCTTCGGCTGTAGAAATCTTGGGTGGTCTTTGTTAATATGTCCATTCATGTCTCCTTTTTGTGATGGAAAAATGAGTGAGACTGCCCTAGTCAGTGTAATCAAAAATAAATGCAAGTGTTGTTATAGAACTTTTAACCTCTTAAACATGAATACATGTCCTACATAGATTACTTGGTGAGTGTTAGTCTGCTTGTACCAGATGTCCTTCGGTTTGCTGCTTATATTTTGGAAATGAGTTGACTTCAAGATCATCACTGTGCAAGTTAGGGATGTCTTGAATGTGAAGCAAGCATAGCTTCTTCGTACTAATTCTGAGGTGTCTAAATACATAGTCATTTTTTGTCTGTTAACTGCTGTGTGGCAAGATGTTGCAGTTGGAAGACAGTTGTTGAGTGCAGGGCATGGTTTTTGTGCTTGCTTGGTTGCTGAAATGATCTTGGGAAGGAGATGATCTTAATTAACATTTTGTTACTCTAAATATAGCTGCACAGCTGAAGTCTCTGCAGTTGCAGTCTGACCGAAGTAAACATCTATTTTCAGCTGTGCATAATTCAGGTACAGAATCTTGTGATCAGCTACAGCTTAGTACAGCTCTCTAAAGGCAGAATATAACACATACCAAGAAAAGTTTTGTAGCTTTGATTCTCGTCATTATTGAGGTTTTTCTTTAGAGCATGCTAAATCTTAGTTATCTCTGGGGTAGCAGAGAGGCAGCTAAGTGGCAGTCACAGAATTTTTCTGGCTCAAATAGACCCAAATCCTTTCTTGAGGCAACTATTCTTGTAGTGTCTAAACAATGTTGCATGAATCTTGACAGTCAGGAGGAAGAGCCAGTTTTCTTCCTCCTGCCTGGAACTGTCTCTTGCATTGAGGAGCTGAGTTACTTCTAAAAATCCTGCTCATATATCTGGCTCTTCAGGGAGCAATTTTCAAATATCTCTACAGCTTTCCAATTGTGGAACAAGAGCTGGGCTCAGTGTGGCTGTTAGTGCCAGGGAATATCTAATGCTGCCTTGCATTTCTCACTGTTAGGAGTTGTGTAGTAAGTGTGTATAGTAAGCCAGGGTTGCTAGTCTGCACAGCAAAGAGGTTCTTGCTGGCTTGCTGCTTAGGGTTGTCGGTTTGCTTATCTGCAGTTACAGAGATTGCACCCTCCTATGACAGATCCGTTAAAGGCATGCTAATTATTTTATATTCATATTTTATGTTTATGTTCTCTTATTCTGATTCACATTAGAGCTTGAATTCTGTAACCACATTTTATAAGGAATCTTACACTGAGACAGTTTCTGAAAGTAGCCAAGGGTCGGGTACCATGAAATTACTGACTGAATGTTGTTTTTTAACTCTGGAAATGCCTTTTGCGGTCAGCATTCTAGCCTTATGCTATTGACAAAGCCTGTTCTCGGGTGCTTTGTTTTATGCAGTCATTTTGAATGTGGCTGGTGGCAAAAGGACAGCGAAAGAAGCTTCTTTAGGTTCTCACAAAAAGACTAATTTGAATAAAAAATATACTTTACCAGCAAGCAGAAATACTTTCTCCCTTGCTCTGTACTTCCTACAATAACCTTTCTTAGTAAGTATTTAATTTCACAGAATTATTCTGGTGACAGTGAGTTTTAAATTAAAATGAATTTGTAGAAAATCTTGATGAGGGTGACTGCTTATTTCACATAAAAAGTTGTCCTCCAGAAATTCCACTTCCTTTGTTACAGCTTTCTGCAGTGCACCATGAGTGGATAGGAGTAGTACGTGCTAGAAAATGGATAAGGCGCAGATTTTACTGCCACAATGGACAAACTGTGTGTTCCCGAGGCAGATACTGCTGGCTTTCTCTGCTGTCTGAAGCTTCTTTTTCCTTCTGTTATCTGAAACAATCGTTCTGTCATTGAAAAATGCCCTTATGCCACCACTTGTGTCTATTGTAGCTTTTGTGCCAGTATCTTATTGGATCAAAGGCTAGGAAAAATAAGGAGATAGATGTTTATAAAGCGGGCAAAGTCCTGCTTGCTGTACTGATATTTGGAGCACAAAATTGGAAGCTGGGGCTAAAACATGATAATGACCTGGAAAAAAAAAAAGCTGGGTTTAGGTAGCTTGCACATGAAGAAAACCAGAGGAATATGTAGAGTTAATGCAATTTTCCTGCAGTTCCCAGGGTAGTTTGGGGTTAGTGTGATTATTTGAGTCCCGTTCTTCAGGGAATTAATAAAGAGCCTGTCTTCTGTTTTACATGCCATAAAATGACAAATTTCGGTGAGCATGGCTGAGCATTTCAACGCTGCTGAGTCAAGGAGCTACTATCAAAAGCACATCCTTTGTGGCCTGTCCTAATTATCTTGCATTTTCTTTTAAAGCGATAAAATAATTTGGTATTTTCACAGCACTTCTAGCCATCAAAACACAAATGCAAACTAATCTTAGAGTCAGGTTTTTAATAGTGAAACTGGAGACTAAAGTGGGAGGGATGCTTGCTCTTTTAATACAGCTTGAAGACATAAATTCAGTAGGAGTAAAACTGGAGCTCAGACATACTCCCTTTTTGCAAAAGTCTCATCGGTGGCCAGCTTCCTATGTTATGTGCCAAAGCTATTTTATTTGACTGTTTTATTTATAGCGCTTTCCTCACTATTAACTTTGCCAGAACTTCAGTTTTTCCCAACGTTACATGCCTAAAAAAATGAGGGTCTTTGTTCCAGTCTGTATGGGTGTTATGGGACACAGGGAAGGAAACTACCATGTGGGAAAACCTATTTACTTGCTTGAGGTGCCATAAGATGACTTCCTCATGAAGGCTTATCTTGTTAATGCGTTGCAAGTTTTCTGACTGGGTGCTGAGGCTTTCCAGAGACAGGAATTTTTCACTATATGTTTGAGGGATTGATAATAAGTAGCATGCTTTATTGTTGTTTAGTGAAAAGATTTACAAAGATACAAGGAGAATTGTAAAAAAGAAAAAAAAAAGGGGGGGGGAGGAGAAGAGGAGAGATGCTTTATTGTTCTGATTTGGTAAATATGGCCTTGCTTAGTTTATAACAGACCCAGTAGTGCACTTTTTGGTTAGTGCTAGTGTGGACTGATGCCAAGCTAAACCTGAAACATAAAACGAGAAGTTGTAATGCAAGACAGTGAGTATTGAGGGAAGCAATCCTGTAAGGATGTGGAAGTGACTTGCAGTGTGAGGTAGAATATCTAAAGTACTCTAAGTCTTCCAGAGATTGTTCAACCTTACATAGAACACAGAAAAGCAAATAAAAGAAAATGGAACTAATACATGAGGAATCTCTTAGGGCCTGTGGAGATGTTAATATGTGGTTAGAAAGTGCTTGAGCTAATCTAAAATGTTTTTTGCAGAGAAAAAGGAGTGTTCTTTCACTCCTTGGTCCTGGTGCTACTTCTGCTGACACTGGTGATAATTTAACCTCTCTGCAGGAAACCGAGCTCTTCATGCAGTGATGGTTTTATACAGTGAGAGGCTCAGCTGGGCTTGTCCCCTCCAGCTGAACTTGCCTTGTCCGATTTCATCCTGCACGTGGACGCTGGGAGTTTCTTCTGTGGCTGGGTGGAAGTGGAGCTATCCTGAGCTACGTCTGTGTGGTGGGGAAAAACAGAGAAAGTGAAGAACAACTGTTCAGCTTTTCCCCCCCACTCCATGCATCTCTTGAGCAAGGTCAGAGTGAGTGATCTTGGGAGTCAAAGACTACCTTAATGTTCCTGTACGCTACAGGGGCTGTAGGCCTGGCGTTTTCAGTGTGCAGAGGGACATGGAGAGTGGCTTTTCTCTTTGCTGCTTGACTGGCAAGAATCTGGCAGTGTTTGGCAAGCTCTCCTCCCTTGGAGCTGTTCTTGAATGTTTCTTTTGGACAATTGTGTTACAGTGAGGATTTTCTTTGACATAAGGCACATGTACATACATCTATCAACAGGCATCTATTTCACATTAGCAGGGTCGAATGTGATGAGCTGCTGCACAGTTTGCTCCAAGTCCGCAAAATAAGGAACTATTGAAATTAAGCCAAGGAAAATAATTTTCTGCTGCCGGACTTCCTGAGCGACCTTAACAGCGGTGGTGGTTCTCCTTTGCCTTGCTGTACTGTCAGCAGGCTTCTCCCTGTGCAAACACATGTGGGTGTTTCATGTGATTGCTTGTGTTGGGAAGTGATAGCTTGATAAGTGCTTATGAGCTAATGGGCAGTGAGGAGGCCCGTGGAAGGCTTTGAGGTATGTGGCTTGCACTATAACAAATGCTGAATTCCTGTATGGTGTTGTCTATTTGTTTTAATATGATCACTGAAAGACCCGAGATTCTTTTGACTGGTTTTTACAAGGAGCAGCATCACACTTGGAAATAGTGAGGATGAGGATGCACGTTATAATGTGCTAGATGGCAGATAAAGTGCAGTTAGCTGTGTCCTGTATGGTAACTCGGTGGTGCTTGAGCTGTTTGAACTCCCCAGGGGATATTGGAGCATTTTCCTAATTATTCCTTCCTGGAACAGTCAGAATCTTGCTTTGAGTGTTTTGCACATTTGACAGGGAGCAGTTTCATTAAAGTGATATTGGTATAACTCACCTTTTACATCTCATTCTTTAGAAATGGCTCGCTTTACTGATTTTTATCTTAGTATATTTGAAAACAAAAGATGAATGTTTTTATCTGGCTTTTTTCCATAAAAATCAGTGCATGTGCATTTACTTTCTGGTAAAGCGTAGTGTGCCTGAGAAGACTGCTTAATAAATCAAACACACGTCAAAACTGAATTGGAGTGGAAATGGAGAATGTATTTGAAAAGTGTATGTTCTGGACAGGTTATTAAAGTGAGATTTGCAGTGGCTAAAGGCTTGCAGCGATGTGCTGCACAGTTCAGTGGGGAGGCAGCTGTAAACATTTCTGTGTGTGATGGGGAAGACCAGCCATGTCCTGTTTTCACGCTCTCTGCCTATGCTGCTGTTGCAGTCCAAAATTTCTGATGCTGTCCACATGTTGAACCTGCCAGTGGTCTACACAAAGACTCCTTGGAGCAACCACGATATGCTTCCCAGCAACCCTTTCACTGTTCTGCAGGCACAGGTCTCTTGGACTGGTGTGCTGGGTGTAGTGTGCAGTTGAGTGTCATCTTTTGGCAGCATCAGCTTTTACTGGCTCAGTTCCCTCTGCAGCTGAGGGTTTGTGTTATTTAACAGGGTGATGCCCTTGCCTCTTCAGTAAGGCAGCTGATAAGAGATTGCAGAAGAGGAGGATAGGAGCTGACTGCTCTCTTGTGATTATGGCATTTGGTGTGGAAGGTACACACTTGTGCTGACAGTGGTGAGATTGTAGTGCGGAGTGAACTGTGAGTAGGTGGGTGTGGTGCATTGGTTGGCAGGACAAAATAGAAGGCCTTGCTAGATCTGTGTAGGGACTGGGAAAGTGGCAGATCCAGAAGGCACCATCCTGAAAGAGGGTTTTGATGAGACATAATAGAGGAGCTAGAACTTTTTTGTGTTTTAGAACAAGCTAGATAATAAGAAAACTTTTTAAAATCTTTCTGTAAGCTATGGATAGCTTAACAGAACTTTCCTTTGCAATGTTGGTTTTGAAAATAATATTAAAAATACTGTCATACAACAATACCCAGCCTTCCTGACCCTCAAACCTTTACCGTGGCTGTACCAGGTGATACAGAGAGCTAGAGTACTCAAGGTAGTTTTAAGTCTGAGCATTCCTCAGGAGTCCCAAAAGCCCACTGTGGGCCAGGTACCTGTCTGTTCTACTTTGTGAATGAGAATTTGATAATGGCAATGTCAGGCAGACACATCTCAGGTCACTTGCAAGCATTTCACCTTCCAAGCACAGCCATCTTGAGAGCTTACAGGCTGACTATTATCCTATTATATTATCTTTGGTTAATGCAACTAGATATTTTCAGACTTCATATTTTAAAATTTAGCTGTTTTAAAAATTCAGTATTGAATGTGAGGTTGACAGGCAGGCAGATTTTCTGAACTGATATATCATCTGAAGATAATTACTATACAAGAGCCACTTACTCTTTTATTGTAGCACACTCTGAAGCGTGCTCTTGCACACCATTATTCACATTATGATGTGTGATTGCTAGCACAAGTCTGGGAAGATGTGCTAAATCCTGGAGTGGGATTTAGCATGCATTAGCAAGTGTCCAAGTATGTGTCCAGCTCATTCCAATGGTCGGTGTTGTGGTACCGCATGCCATATAGCTGCTGTGTGGCAGAATTTTGTTTACACAGACATGCGAAAATTATTCAAAGGTTCATCTAGCTTGGTGTTGCCTGGAACTCTGGTCAGGAACGTGTTTTTTCCAGGATCACTTTGGGACTGTTGACTCTTCTGACTTAATTTCTGCTGGAAAGGTTTTGGGAGTGAGGGAAGACACTGTGTGCACACTCTTTGGACTAGGATGCAGCTAGCATTACAGTGTAACTAGGTTAAGTACTTGATGATAACCCTGTGCTGTTATTTTAATCTTTGTAATGACAGATATTTTGTGTTATATGGCATCTGTTATTTTATCTTATTTAACTATTCTGTTGTTTTTTCCTTTGCTAGATGAGGGCTATTACCAAGGTGGAAAGTTTCAGTTTGAAATTGAAGTTCCTGATGCTTACAATATGGTGGTGAGTATTTGTCATTCATCTAGTAGTTATCACTTTAGACTTCCTTTCCAGGTAACAGGACTTCAGGGGCAACTTGGCATTGAAATGAAGAAAGGACCTTCTGTCTGTTACTAAAATATCATGAGTTTGTAGAAAAATTTTGGTTGTCTGGAGTTTTTGGAGGTCATCTGAACTCCTCAAAGTTGGGGTAGCATTAAAAGTGGGATTTGGTTGCTCAAGGCCTGGGCCAGTTGGCATTTCAAAATTTCTTAGGATGGACATTCCACTGCCTCTCTGGGCCTCTGTTCTAATGTTTAATCACCTTTGTGACTTTTTTCCTATATTAGCTCAGAACTTCCCTCTTTACAGCTTGTCTGCTGCCTCTTGCTTTATCACTGTGCACCTCTAAGAGCCTGACTCCATCTCCTCTGTACCCTCCCATTAGGCAGCTGTGGACAGCAATAGGGTCCCCACCTTCAGCCTTTTCTGCTCCAGGCTGAACAAAACCAGATCCCTCAACTCTCCTTGTACTGTGTGTGCTCTGGTCTCATCACCATCTTGGTGGCTGGCTGCTGGGCTCCCTCCAGTTTGTCATTATATCTGCTACCGGGGAGTTCAAAATGGGACGTAATAGTTCCGGACACAGTGTCATGAATCCCAGGGAGTGGGGAATAATCATTTCTCTGGTTATTCTCTTGCAGTCCAGTTTTTGCAACCAAACAGCCTTGAGACTTTTACTGCCTCAATGATATTATTCCTTAAAGGAAAAGTGAGTATTTGCAGATGAGTCAGACCTGAGGGTCTCCCTTCTGGCTGAGGTTCCACTCTCATCTTTTCTCTCTCCTGTTAGTTATTCTTGAGACCTGCACTTAATGATTATTCTCACCAAAAAAAAAAAAATATCTAAAGAGTGAAATAGGTGAACAGAAAGGAAAAAAATTTCTTTTTGTTTCTCTGGGGCCTTCAAACTGGTGGTTATAGTTGTGATATTAGACTTAGGCACTTAATCCCTTTTGAGGGCATGCAGTGGAAGACGTGGAAAGCACAGACATGGTGACAAGTAGCCTACTTTTGCACACTCTGCCAGTTCTACTGCCTGTCTCCCAGACTGGTTAGTTAAGTATCTTTAAAAAAAATTAACAATTTCAATGGTTATTAAGCAAACAACTTTCTAGAGCAACTACAAATGATTGCAATATCTTATAGTAGATAAATAGAAAGCTCCAGACAACTTGGTCTTTTCAAGCATGAGAAATGCTGGTATTTCATTATTGTACTTTACTAAAATTGCAGAACTGTGTAAGGGAGGGGAGATGCAATTACAATAAAAATAACTTCAGACGTTGTTTTCAGAGTTTAGCTGTCAAAAGAACAAGATTGACTCCAAAAATGGAAAACAGCTGGGGCACATGTCTGGTTCTCAGGAGTTACACCTGCCATTCTGTGTTCTGATAGCTTCTTGTGTAAGGAAACTAGACTCATTTGAGCATTTGAGTTGCAGTATTTGCATTTAGGTATATGAATTGCAGGAAGAAGTAAACCTAACTTCTTTTTTTTTGAACGGTTGTGATAATTTTGCTTGCTTTTGTAACTTTTTTTTCCCATCGTTCTACTTTCTATTTTCTTTCTTTTGGTTTTGATACTTCAGAGCTCTTTCAGAGAGGCTGAAGAATGTATAGGAGAGGATACTAGAGGAATGTTTCCAGGAAGACCTTTGGCTTATGTGTTCAGATGCAACAAGCCTAAATTCAGCATTATATATATGTAGTAGTTGCAGTCACAGCATTGTTTATATACAAATGTGAAGGAGGCACAGTGGTCTAGAATGTACTAGCTTGAATTCCCAGACTGAGCTTGGGGAATGGAGCATTAACACTGCTAGTAGAGTAGAAAGGTTATGTTTCTGAAATTGGAGGAGTTGGGTCTGCATTCCAGAAGATGCCTTCACAAGTTTCCTAATATTCCTTTACTTATACTGCATGTCCCATGTATTCATAGACTATATTTTATAAAAAGCTCATGCTTGTAGAGAACCATAGCACTTCTGAAAGATTTGAATTTTCCTCCTCCTTTTTTTTGACAGCTGTGCTCTTCTTTCATGGTAATATTGGTCAAGAATTATTTCCTCAAGCTTGCTTTTTTTACATGTTTAGGATCCTGACTGTCTGTATTGATCTACTTCTAAAACACCTATATGTACTAATAGTGTTTGCAGTTGTATGGTTTTGACTGTGTTTTTTTTTAAGTTCCCCTTAACCTCACCAGAGAATTTCATACAGGCTTACTAGCTTGTGTGTGATTACGCACACACTATAAATACAAAGGTGGTCATTTAAAGTTGACTGCATCCTTGTTCTAACTTGAATAAATTGTGCCATTGCATACCTGAGAAACATGGCCTTCAGTAAAAAGGGGAAAACTCTGTCACATTGTCTGCTGTCTAATTTTTTAGTCATCTTCAATAATAGCAGTTTAACCACTGTGGTAATGCTGGGCCCAGGGGAACATACACAACATAGACTGATTTTAATTTCTTAAATTTTTGTTTGAAGTGTTCCCCTAAAAAAACACACTGCTGGAGGAAAGCATTTGCTATGTGTTAAGGGAAGAGATGAATGTTAATTTTGATCTGGGTTTTTTTTGCTTCTCAATTTCTATAATTAAAAAATCTTCTGGTTTGTTATGGCTCCCTGCTCAGCACTGCCAGAAAATCTACAGCAAATGTTAATTAGAGACTTTTAAATTCTGAGCATCTCTCATTCAATACAAAAGTAAAAAAGTTTGCCTTTGTGCAATTTGAAACAAAAAGCAATAGGTTGAATGTTGGATTATGGTCAGGTTATTAATGAAAATGTGTATGTTCACAAATATTGAGATAATTATGCTGAGACCATGGTTTGTTTTCTGGCCGGCAGAGTAGGACTGAAACAAGTGTTGGCAGTATTTCTAATGGAGCTCTTCAGACCTGCCAGTGCTCTTTCAGCCCATAATTAAGGTTGGGATATCACACATCTGTGTCAAGCTCCTTGCAGCAGTGCTGAACACATTTGTGTTGGGAGTAAAAATACCGGGCAAGACTGGCAAGTCATTATAGCTCTGCTTCAGAGCCTGCATCCTCTTTCTAGCTAATCTTTTTAGCCTGCAGAAAAAAAGGACATCTGTTTTTAAAGCTACAAAATGCATGATTTATAGTATACTTTCTGTAATGGCATCCTTTAATTTCTGTAGCATACTGTTGCCAAAATCCTGTGTGTTTGCTGCTACTCTGAGGATTTCTTCTTTTTTTGCCCTTCATTCCTCATAAGCAAGCATTCAGCTTCTGCAGTGGGAAAAGTGGATGTGTAGAATGGTGATGTAGTAGAAGAGTATAAGAATACATAATTGAAGAGGAAAAACTTGAAAGATTTTTGTGTTGTGGACTGCAGCCATGGCATACTACTCTGCCCAGTGAAGCATTGGAGGCTGATTTGGAAAGTAGAGAATCTGAATACAGAGAAGTAACGTATCCTTGTACTTTAGGTGTGACTGACTAGGATGTGCATCAATTTCTGATACCTGGGCTATAAAACTTCCTTAGTGTGAAGATTCAAGAGGCTGAAATGTGGGAGGGATGCTTTGGAGCAAGCATTACTGTGAAGTGCTGCCTCTTGCTTGTGAACAGAGCACACAGCTGGTTAGAGTTTAATCAGCCTTCTGTACCATTGAACTGCTGTACTGAGAATTAGAAATGTTTATTATGATTATCTGTAAGGCAATAAAATATTATAAGGGTTCTTCCACTGTATCTGTAATTAACCTATTTCAGCTACTGGAGATGGGGATAATTTTAGAAGCATCTGAGCTTGAGAACTGTTCCTATTTTTAATTGGTTATTGGAGGCATGAGCATGGTTCAGATGGATTTGTGCTACAGTAATTTGCATCACCCCACTCTGCAGCCTCGTGGGCTGTGTTTCACTCTGTGCTTTACAGAAAGGCTGAGGAGAGGTAAGAGCTCACCATGGGCTTTTCCTAAAGCAGTGTGTTTCCCAAAGCAGGGAACTCTTCCAAGTACTACAGCTGGGCATTGTCATGTTGGCTAGTCCCAATGATTGTGTTCATTGTTGCTGATTTAATACTGTAACTGAGCAAGTATAGGTGTTGATTGTGCCTGAACCAAGCAATAATCGAATGAAATGGACCTGATGGTATCTGTGGTCCCTAAATGATCTTTCTCCTGCACTGTTGTTCTGTGGAGGCACACAACACCCCAGAAGTCATGTTCCTGAGTAGTCCTTTTGAGTTCGTTTGGTTAGTACACTAATAAGTACTTCCTGCTGTTGGCTTAATGTTTTAATATGTACTATACCTAGTGTTCTCCGTTAAATTTCTTTCTGCCTGATTGAGGCAGACCCGGGATCTCTATCTTTTTTTCTTTCAGTGAAACTGCTACGGAGAACTCTTAGCATTAAAAGTTATTGTTCACTCGTAAACTCCCGTATTGGAAATGGGGCCAGAATGGGGAATTCTGTTCATGCCTCTGAGTGAACAGTCAGGTGATGCTTCCTGCAGCACTAGTGAAGGAAATGAAGGTAGTCATGCTCCCAAGGGCCAAGCATATAAACATGATCCTGAATGGAAAGGCCTCAGCTTTCCAGGAATGGTCGGAGTAAAAAACATCCTGAAAGGAGGACTTCATCCCATGTATGTCCCAAAAATGTTTTCCAAAATGAATTTGTGCACCTTGGATCTGTTCCTTCTGTAAGCATCTGATTCAGGCTGGCTGCTTTTGGAGCCTTGGGAAAACCTGGCATTGCATCTGCAGAATCTTCTGCTATGATCCAAACTCTTTCACAGCTCAGATTTCCTTGATTTTTTTTTATAGCACTGTTTTAGGGGCATGCCATAGATGGAGCCAATAGGCTTGAGCTTTTGATGTTTTCTGGACTTGATGTACTGTCCATGTTCTGAGTACAAAAAGAAGAAAAAGTAGTTCATCCTGAGAGTCCTCTTCCCTCTAAAGTTGGAGCTAATCTGTGCAGAAGGATACTACAGTGAGAAAAGTAAGAGTATTGATATTTAACTTTTGTTTTAGGGCATTAAAAGTCTTTGGAAGGTCAACACTTAATTTTATCTGTTCTGAATTGCTGTTAAAAGTTTCAAATTTTCTTTCTTAATTCTTCTGTAAAGCTAACTGCTGAAGTACTAAAAGACATGTTGGTCTCTACTAGTATATGAGGGCTTCCTCCTGTCCCAGGCAGAGAGCGTGGGATGTACCTGCTCCACAGCTCAGAACACTTCATATTTCATGATATTTGGGAAGACCAATGGCTGATCCCTGCTTGCGTATCCATGTGTACATGAAACTGCCCTTAATACGTTGCATCCTTTCCAAATGTACTGTTCTTTATATCCATAGCAGGTGTACAGAGTGAAGGGAAGATTTCTTTAATACTGTAACTTATTATTTACCAGACAACCTGTGGACTTTTTTCTTTGGTGATGAGATATTGTGTCAGAACAGAAAACAGTTGGTACTGGTAAGGATGTTGCAGAGGGATCATGAGAAGGACACTGGAGCAGAGTTAGTTAATTTTTGTAGTGTTTCCTTTTAGAAATACTAAAATTTGTTGGTAAACCTGTCACTTGGCATTTAAAAAAAATACTATTCTTGTTAGGAAACAGGCTGCACATTCATGAGCTTTTGTGCAAAGCAAAGAGGAATTTGTTAGTGTTTGTGCTTACAAAACCTGCTGGGAATGTTGCTGTCCATACAGACATCAGAGGAAGCTGTGAATCAGCAAGCAAAACATTTAATGGTGTACACAGCAAATACCTTTAGTGCCAAGTGCTGCTGCCTGACCTCTGTCTCTGCAGCAGCTTTTCCCCAAGCACTGCTTTTTTTGGTTGACTGGCAGCCCAGAAGGAGGTTAGTGGGAGATGACTGGGGGATGAATTGCTTTAAAAAAACAAACTCCCTTTTTCTGCCTTGAGGTGCAGCTGGTGAAATAATGGGTGCTACAAGACAAGGGACCTGGTGCTTTAAGGAATTGAACCTGATGGGTAGTACAGATCTAGTTTAACACCCATGTAAAACTAAACTGGCTGCCACCACAAGCCTGGCCTCGTTTGTAGCTCCCATGGTTCTGGCATATCATGTTGTCAGAGTAGACAGTCTTAGGGACTCTCTGCTTTACCAAAGTTTTTATGATATCAGGTGCCTTAGGCAGCAGTCAAAAGCTGGGAATTTAGCAGCAGAGCTGCTATTAGTCCTTTTTCTGGACAATATGTTAGTTGTGGAAAGTGAACAACAAAGGGATTTGGTTCCTGAGGGATCAGATGCCCAAATGAGGGGCTTGCACCTACCTTTTTGGTGACCCTGCTTTATACAGGTCTTGGGTTGGAACTGATGAAATGGAAGTTGGGTTCATGCCTCCATATGGGAGTGTTGAGGTGGTGCAAGGAAGTGTGCATGCCTTGGGCAGTTCTTGTCGAGGCCTACTCCTCTTCCATGTGTCGAGCTGGGTAATCCATTCCACTGAATGCACAGGGCAGTGTGGCTTTGTTTTCTTTGACTCATTTCTCCGTACTGTGTGCTTAGCTGTGTTTGGTGTTCAGTTTTGGCTGATCTCAAGAAGTTCAAGAACTGGTGGGGGAGAGTGGTAAGAAATACCTTAGGGCTAGCTTTAGCTTGGTCTCTGGAATCTGTATTCCTGTTACTGCCTCTTCTGGGGAATTATGTTTTGTAGAAACTATAAAAAGCTGGAGTCACAGTTGCAGGGCAGTTTTACAAGAATGCTTTGGGACTATCTAGGGTCTAGGGAAAATATTTCAAATAAGCAGAAATTTGGAACCAATGTTAGGAACCCCATCCCTTCTCTAGGGAAACGGTTGTGAAAAACTATGGTTACAGGACACATAACCATACCTCTATTAGTACACCTGTCATGTTAGAATGCCAAATTGAGCAAGATCTGAAACTGTTAATTAAGTTCATTTATTGATTAGCACTTATATTTGGTCTCTCATTTGGTGAGAATAACGGAGGGGAGAGATTTCTTTAAAAATGCAGCTAATAAGTAATGAGACAAACTTGATCTGAAGCTTGTTGTGCACAACTTCTACTAAACTGAAGTCAGCGTATGCGTAGTTCTCAAATGCTTGCAATGCTTTCTTGTACCATCTGTATGTATTCACCAGTATGAAGTGGACTGAGAATGGACCTGAAAGACTGTTTCCATTATCAAAACTAATGAGATCTTAAAAGAGAAGTGGCTCCTTAGAAATGGAGAAGAAAATCAATCTGTTCACTGTTGTGGCCCCCAACAGAGGTTGGATCTACCTGAGCAGCTTTCAGTATCTGAGGCGAAGGATGGGTTTGAGCAATGAAATAAATGGATTTTGTAAGCCTTGTTGTGGAAAGTGTCACATGCGTCACCTGGAGATGGCTGGAGGTATTCAAGTGAAACATCTCGAGGAAATCTTGTGTGGATTTGTTGGTCTAAGGAGGACTCAAAAATGACTTGGAACAAGCTCAAAGGAGAAGTTTTGTCTGAAGATAAATTTTATGATAGTGCTGCACTTGTCCTGTCTGTCTAACAGAGGAAGGAAGGGAGAAAAAGAGAAAATCTTTGTCTTACTGTCAGGAGTAGGTTTTTTTAATTTTTAGAGATGAAAAACACTTTGAAAGGATAAAGCAATTCTTTTGTTTCCATGATACAAAAAATGAGACACCAGTTAATTCACTCAGGCTGTGAGGATTTGGGGATTTTTTTTAAAAGATTTAGTTTGTATAAAGCTTTTTTCTATTGATCAATGCATTCCCTGTTTGAAGGTGCATATGATAGAGATTTACTCTTTTATCTTGATCTACTGGCATGGAATAAATACTGCTGCTTTCCCTTTCTTGAGAACTAGACATAATCTTTCAAAACAAATGAGGGTGTAGCTACTGAAAAGCTGTGCTGTTAGAAAACTTCTTAGGAGAACATTTGTTTTGAAGGTAGAAAGTGTGAGACTGTTTTCTGGATGCCATTTAATTTTCAGTAATGCTGTGATCCAGCACTAGCGCAGTCAGTGTCCTTCTGTGAAACAAGTGGAGAAAAGTCAATGTCTATAGTATAAATTGCAGATTCACTGTGGTGATAGTTGTTCTTTTAGTGCAGACAGGTATGTAATTGGTAGCTCAGTACCATGCATGTTTTCTTACCTCTTCATCAAGGAGTCTTAGTTAAAAAAAAATCTGTTTTACTAAAAAGATAATTGGGAAGTTGAGAACAAAGCAATGAGACAAAACACATCATGCTGCTATGCAAATACAGCTATTTAAGCTATTTTATCTCTTGACTGAAGACTTCATGGGAAGCAGTGGAGGAAAATAGCTCCACATCTATGGTATGTGATATAATTGAAGTTATGAAAGGTACTGGTCTGTGCTGATGTGTTCCAGTACACTTACTATAAGAAATAATCTATTTGATTGAAAGCTGCAAATTGTAATTTGGAGAGCATGGCTGGAATGACGTGCTGTTGCTAAGCTACTGGAATTTTTATGACCCACTCTTTTTATTTACTTCACAAAACTAGAACAAATGAGGCTGTATTTTAAGAACCTGTATTTCAAAACCCGCTATGGAATTCAGAAATCTGGTGATCTTGCCTGAAAATAAGTTTGGTGGCTTTTTATGTTAGTGTCTTAAGTTCGGATATGAAGCTTCTTGTGATACTTCCTGTTCAATTGTGAACAGGAAGGTCTTGCGTTTAAAAGAAGCTGTTCTTTTGGTGTAGTTATTACCATTGCATCCTCTGCTGCTTTTTAACAAACTCCCTGACTTGGATAAGCCTTGGGGGAAAACACTTAGCAGTTTTCTGGTTTGAGTTGTTGTCTTACTGGTTAAGTGTTAAGAAACTGAATAACATGGAATATTTTCTTTCCCCTGAAGTAGACAGGATAAGAGAGTAAATTTTGTTAGCTTTATTTAAAGTTTTGTTTTTCTAAGAAATAGCCTAATACCAGCACAAATACTTTTGTAAAGAGTTGAGAGAAGCTAAAAGGGCAGAGAAAGCCAGTGTAATTCCTGTAGGTTTTATTTTTGGTGTCTTTAACGTACAAACCTGGGCTGTGAATATAAAATGTATTTGCCTCTTTCAGTTCTGTGACTTGTACCAGTGATCCAGTTTTATTTTAAAGGATAACATCATAATTTGTTTTCTCTCCTGGCAGCCTCCAAAGGTAAAATGCTTGACAAGAATCTGGCATCCAAACATTACAGAGACGGGAGAAATCTGCCTAAGGTACCAACAGCATTCTGTTTTCTTTAAACCTTGGAGGTTTGTCTGTGTGATGAAACATTGTATGTGATTTTCATGCCAGTATTTTTTTAACAGATTCTTCAAATCAGTGGCATGTGACCCTTAGGAACTTAGACATCTACTGAAAGTATTCTTGCCATGTGTTAGAGACCATGTAGAGCCTGGCTTTTCAGGTTCAGACTTAATGTTTTGTTCTACTTAAGGTAAAAATTGTAAACTCCAATCTAAACTAAACTTAATTGTGGGGTTTTTTGTCCTTCCATCGTTGAATAGTCCTCAGGTCCTGAGAGCCTGAGACTGCTTAAGGCTTTACTTGTTTTAATGCCTGAATGTGTTAAGTGCTTGAAATGCATCTATATTTCAAAAAGGAAGGGAAAAGTGTTCCTTAAACTTTGACAGTAATGAGTCTATATTTGCCATTTGTTTATTCTAACATTTAATATCCACTGTAATGTCCACACATGTGCCAGTTAAAACAGAGTTGCCGGAATGTAAGTAAAAATATCAAGGCCAAAAGCTTTAATTTACCACAGTGAAGGGCTTTTGTTGGGTTGGTTTTGCTTGATGGTAAATGCTTCCTCTTCAAAATCAGTTTCTGAAATGTTGCAATTTCGGTGTTTCATGATGAGTACCTGATAATGAAATTGGCCAGAAACCAAACATAAGCAGAAATGAGAAGCATGACTGTCTTTTTTCAAGTTAATAGGACATAAAAGAAAAAAATAGATGAAGCAGAAAAGGAAAATAAGTGAGATTGAAAGCTGTTGTGAAAATCCAAAGCTGTTGTGAAAATCCAAAACTATTGTGAAAATCCAAAACTATTGTGAAAATCCAAAACTATTACCACATGTGTAGCAAATTAGTGCTTAAAGCTATTTTTTTCTAGATTTAAAAATAATTTTAATGTTGTGTTCAAGGTCCTGGTGAAGACAAAGTTTTCCCAGGGTAATCTATCACATTCCATAGGCAGGTCAGGCTCAGCTGGTAACTAAAGAGCTGATACCAGTCCTTTTAGTCAGTAGTGGTCTGCTCCATGCTTCTGAGAAGCTCATATCATCAAATGGTGATAGAAACCAACCTGGGGAGACTGTAGTGTGTTCCTGATGCTTGATGGTGCCAGACTGCAGCAGGGGTACAGGAGCAAGGGTTAGTGTCCATAGACTTCACTTTGGGTTTGGAGGATTTAAAAGCGGTGGGAAAATGTACTGAATCTTCTGAGACTGCCTAAAAATCTGATTCAGTGCCTCCTAGGAGTGTGTTCCATTTTACACAGCTGAATTTGTCACTTGGCAGTAGGGAGATAGATTTAAGGATTGTATTTTTACAGTTTAAATTCCATCAGACTTCTTGTGGTTTAGTCAACTGGAGAAAGCTTAGACACTGAGTCAAATAGTATGAAGAAAGGAATAAGCGAGCTGTTCAGAACCAGGGAACAAGAAGTGCTAGACACCAAACAATAGCTAAAAGTTTAAGCTCTGATTACAGTGCTACATCTTCTAAGGGTAAATAAAGCCTCCTCACATTCTTGAGGATATTTCACTGTTTCTTGTCTTTAAATGGTTTTAATTATGAAAGATGAAGGTAGTGTTGGAACATCATAATTTTACATAATGAAGTAATTTTTAGTATCTGCACTGAAACATCACCTTTATTTGATTGACAGATACTTTAACATATCAAACCTTTGAACTGTCTTATTTAGCTGGCAAAACTGAAATAACTTGGATTGCTTTATGCCTGTTATAATGGGTAAGGCACTCTATATATAGCACCCTGCAATCAACTTATACAATCTATACATTAAAATAGCTTCAGTTTTTAAAAGCAGAAGAAAATTCCTTATCAGTGTTTTTCCCAACTGTCTGTACTTAAATGTAACTCACACTGTGGTATGTGTTCATTTGATAATCATCACTGAAATAAAACATAACAAATGATTAAACTTATGGTCAAGTGGGCACAAGTTTTGGGCAGGAAGAGTGTTGTTTCTGTGCTTTATGGATTGCAGCTACTCTGGACCATGTTAATTAGATCTGGATCATACTTGTGGATATTGCCTCCATTGCACTTGTGGATGGAAAACATCAAGATACCTAGAGAGAATTTGTTTACTACATAGGTTTTTAGAATAGTTTAATCACTCAAATTTCACTGCTTTTCTGCCATGTGGTGAGATGGCCAGTGTTGTTGGATGTGTCCTTTTTCTTCAATAGGTGTTGCTAAGGTTTGGTCACTTCATGATGCAATGTTAAAGGCTGCTGAATGGAGAAGTGTTTGAAGACTGATTAATTGTATCATCTAGTATAGCTCAATGTTGCAATTTCTCCAGTTATCAAAGCTGATTGACTTGCTTGTTTCTGCTCCCCAGTGCTCTTTCCAGTCTCCTCATCTGTGCCAATGTGGAAACAAAAAAAACCCCCACCCTTTTTAGAAGGATTTCCTACACCAATTGCTCCACTTATCCAGTCTATAGCGCGGCCTCCAGAATGGTTGCACTGGCAGTGCTGGGTTGAACAGGGAGGTGGGCAGCAGGAACTGAGCAAGAGAATAACCCCTATGGTGTGTCCTTGCCAACAGAAGGTTTCTGAAGTGGATTTACAGCTTTTTAATTCAAACTTACCTTGAATGATACTTTCTGTTGACAAAAGGAAGGCACAAGTTTTGTTGGAACTGATGTTTTCATAGAATGGTCTGGGTTGGAAGAGGCCTTAAAGATCATCTAG